TAGGTCCGCTTGCTGGACCCTCACGTTGATGCTCGGTAGTTGGGCTCTTGGACCCCCCCCCAAAAAAACAATGATACTTTAAACCCTCAACCCGAAGCCCTAAATCCCTAAATCCTAAGCCCCTAAACCCCCAAACCCCTAAAACCTACACCCTGAGTTCAAGGAAAATGTGCCGATGAATGACTGAGAGGGTGTCCTAAGTCAGATTCTTCTCCCGGCCTACAGCAGAGGGCGCGGGGTTCAAGGGGGGTACGTAACCCTAAACCCTAAACCCTAAACCCCAAACCCTAAACCCTAACCCTCAACCCTAAACCCTAAACCCTAAACCCAAGGTTCCCTAGTACTCCCCACAACCACTCCACAGGTACGTACCCCCCATGAAGCCCCTTCCCTCAAAAGCCTTATAAACTTGAAGGAACCTTACCTAGCCAACTCGATGAACCTGAGAGCAATTGTGGGGGGTGTTTCCTGATTTTGTAGGAACAACGAAGTTTCTAAGCCCTAAACCCTAAACCCTAAACCCTAAGCCCTAAACCCTAAACCCTGCACCCTGCACCCCACCCTGACCCCTTTCTGATTTTAGGCCCTTGGGACATTCTGAGTTTTTCCCTTCTTGGGTTTGGGTCGTATTCAGGAGTATATTTTTTCAGAGGGTTTTTGGGGCCATCCTAGTATTCCCTGGTTCTCTGGAGGATGAAGGAACACCCTAAATCTAAACACTAAACCCTAAACCCTAAACCCTAAACCCTAAACCCTAAACCCTAAACCCTAAACCCTAAACCCTGCATTGGAGGTGTCTGAGCTGATCTTCGCCTCCAGCCTCCTGAAGCAGGTGGGCCTTCGGGGTTCCCCTAAGCCCTATAGAGTTTAGGGTAGGGTTTAGGGTTTAGGGTTTAGGGTTTAGGGTTTAGGGTTTAGGGTTTAGGGTTTAGGGTTTAGGGTTTAGGGTTTAGGGTTTAGGGTTTAGGGTTTAGGGTTTAGGGTTTAGGGTTTAGGGTTTAGGGTTTAGGGTTTAGGGTTTAGGGTTTAGGGTTTAGGGTTTAGGGTTTAGGGTTTAGGGTTTAGGGTATGAGGCCCTCAGAGGGCCCTAAACTCTCAACACCCCCTGATCGTGGCAGATGCCGCTTCCAGCAGAGCTGCACTTCGTCATGCTCACCTCCTCAGGTGCTGGGCCAGGGCCTTCAGGGTTTAGGTTTGGGGGTCTGATGCAAGAGCCAAAGTAATTTCAACCCTTATCTGCACATTCTTCCCTCACCCATTTTGGGTTCAGGGTTGAAGGTTCGGGATACATAGGGCTTACGGAAGCGTGGGATTTGTAGGGGGTGGGGGGGGGGGGGGTGAAAGCTTTTGGGATCAGGTGCTTTCCAGCGGGCTTGGCTGGCTGTTCTTCGAAGCCTGGCCCACATCCAAAGCGCACTTAGCCCCGCATCCGTTGCCTGTGGCTGCAAGCTGCGTAGGCCTGTAGGCCATTGGGCTATTTTGTATTGTCCCCTCATCACATTAAAGAGGATCATATATAGGAATATTTTTCAGAGGGCCTTAAGGCCCATCCTAGCAAGAGCCTTGCCCCAATGGCGCGGTTTCAAGACGTGCAGATATTGAGCCCTAATCGGAACGCGTATTGCTTGTTAATGCAGGTCTGCCTGTCATGCCCCGATGCCGCTGCCGTCCCCACACCACTCCCCTCCACTGCAACCCAAACCCGAAGCCCTAACATAGCCCAAGCCATCCTAACCACCCAACTTACCCTCAACCCTAAACCCTAAACCCTAAACCCTAAACCCTAAACCCTAAACCCTAAACCCTAAACCCTAAACCCTAAACCCTAAACCCTAAACCCTAAACCCTAAACCCTAAACCCTAAACCCTAAACCCAAAGCCACCAGACCCCAAGCCCCCAACCTCCCAAAACCCTCAGCCACCAGAACCCGACAGGCGCCTCGGCAGCGAGCTGGGATGAGCAGGTGCACGGGGAGGGGAGGGGTGGAAGGCAAGTGCAAGGGTCTAGGGTTAGGGATTCAGGCCTTGGGGCGATTTCGGGACGATTTAGGGGCGATGTCGGTTGAGGCGATCTGCAGGTACCTTATTGGGGTTCTTATGTTCAGGGGATCCTACTATTTGGGGGTCTGTATTAAGGGGATCCTACCATTTGGGGGTCTATTTTTAGGGGTCCCCCTAATTTTCGTCAACCCCCAAATCCGCTCCAAGAAGTCGGAAAAATTTCCCCCAGCAGGTTCTGGGTACAAGGCCGTCCTGGCTGCCCGACCCAGAGAGCAGGCGGGAGAGTCTCTTGAAGGTTCCCCTGAACCCTAAACCCCAAACCCCAAACCCTAAACCCCAAACCCGAAACCCGAAACCCTAAACCCTAAACGCTAAACCCCAAACCCTAAACCCTAAACCCTAAACCCCAGCCCCTTCATCATAATCCGTACTTACAAGTAGGGTTGCAAGTGCCCGAGATAAGGTCATAATCATAGTTACGTACCACACTCATGGCTCTGCTTCTAGGTACCCATGAACCTCCAAGTTGTGTGGGCTGCAACGGCTTGACTGACGGGGCTTCAGGGTTTGGAGCTATTTTCACGGCCTCAGGGTTGAGGGCCGAGGATGCAGGGTTTCAGGGCTTTTGTGGGCTTTTGGGATGCAGGGCTCCAGGCTTGTCATCTTGGAGTATATCTTTTTGTTATGATTATTTTCAGTACTATCATTATCTTTACTATACTTTTCCACTACAATCAGAATTTAATAACTCTCGCAATGTTGCTATATAATAATCAATTTTTAATTCGTCTTTATTGTATAATTGGCCATGTTTGATTGATCTGATAAATATCGATGTAACGGAGTGAGGGCTTTGGGGGCTTTAAGATTTGAGAGTCCAACTACTACCATGACCACAACCACGACGGCGACGACCGCCATGATTAAAATGTTGCCGTGAGGTTTTGGGGGCCAAACATGAAGGTCTGGCACTGTTCCGGGCGGAGGTTGGGAGAGTGATTTTGTGGCCATGAATCTTGCAGCATCTTCGAACGTTGAGATGTGGTGCTGCTCCTTGTTCTGATTCGGAGTTTGTCCTTGCCCGGTGGGGGATGTGCAGCAGCCTGATTTCGCGCCTTACTTTTCCCCATGGGTTGCAGTATCCTTCGACGGCGAAGGGTCTGCACATCGGGAGTTTTGGGCTCCAGGACCCTGGAATGACTGAAAGCTGGCTTGGAGCTTCATGGCTACTTACAAGTAGAACAACAGGACCCGGAGTAGGGCCTTGTTCCCTTGTTTAGGGTTTAGGTTCCCTTGTAAGCCCCTTTAAGCCAAAAAGGGCACCCTTTGTATTACTAGGGTACTCTTTCGTCTAGGTTATAGGTACCCCAAGCAAGGTTCGGCCAGAGTTACCCCCACTTTGAGCCCATCATACGAGTCCTGAACCTCCAAGTTCCCTCAGGGTTTAGGGTTTAGGGTTTAGGGTTTAGGGTTTAGGGTTAGAGCAGATGTGTTTGGCTCACGTTTCCGGGGGGCCGAAGCTACCTTGGCTCTCTTCGTGGCTCCTGCGTAGTGTGCAGGATGCTCGTACATGAACCCCCCCCCCCCCCCCCCCCCCCCCCCCCCCCTCCCCCCCCTCCGTCCCCTCCCCCCCCTCCCCCCCCCCCCTCCCCCCCTTCCCCCCCTCCCTCCCCCCCCTCCCCCTCCCCCCCCCCTCCCCCCCCTCCCCCCCCCCACCCCTCCCCCCCCCCCCCCCTCCACCCCTTCCCCCCCCCTCCCCCCCCCCCCTCCCCCCCCCCTCCCCCCCCCTTCCCCCCCCCTCCCCGTCTGCGTGGTGTGCCCAAGAACCTGGTAAGCAGATGGGCGGTACGGGACGGGGGCTGTCAAAAAACTGTGCCTCAGATCAGAGGCCGGCTGGGTCCCTTGTAGGTGTCGACAAGAAGATGTAGAGCGTGTAGACGGATCTTTGCAACAGAATATGGTGGTTTCCGAACTTAGGGCTGCCCGAGTAGAATCCTGAATTAAAGGGAATCCTAAACCCCAACTTCGGTTCGCGGCCCCTGGAGTTCCAGCGTTCCCTCCGCAAAAAGCGCCACTGGCAGGCCCAGCGCCGGCGGCGAGGCGGCCGCAGCCCTGGCCGCTGCCTATGCACAGGCCTTGCAGAAGGCGCGCGCCGTTTTGCGAGAGGGCCACGGCCCAGGGCTTTCGGTTCATGCGGTTGGGTGATTTATAGGTGGGGGTCTTGGCTGTTTAAGATGCTTTTTAAGGGGGATCTTAAGTTATGAGGGGGGGGGTCTTTAGGGTCTACGAACAAAATAGGTTTCAAAAGGCCAAGTGAGCCACTGGCGGAGGAGTTCGGTTTAGCATACGTGTCTGCGCGCGCTTCCATCCCGAATGCTCATATCCTTTCCCTAAACCTTGAACTGTAAACCCTAACCCTAACCCTAAACCCTAAACCCTAAACCCTAAACCCTAAACCCTAAACCCTAAACCCTAAACCCTAAACCCTAAACCCTAAACCCTAAACCCTGAAGTCCAAAAGCCGAATAAAGCCTCGAGCCACAGGGCCGGAAGCGAGCCCAGTCCTTCGTCGCCTCGGCTGCAGAGGTGGGTTTAGGGATTAGGGTTTTGGGTTTAGGGTTTAGGGTTTGGGTTCAGGGCTTAGGGTTTAGGGTTTCGGGCTTAAGGGCTTAGGGTTTTAGGGCATATAGGCATGTCAGGGGTTGAGGGTAGGGGCTTCGAGCTTTCTTGCTAGGGTTGTTGGCTTACCGGTTTGAGGGTTTTGAGGGTTTTGTGGTTTGGGGGGGGGGGGGGGGGGGCTGGCATGTCAGTTTGGCGCCCCAAAATCCAAATAGCTTGATGATCCCTAATCTCTAAACCCTAAACCCTAAACCCTAAACCCTAAACCCTAAACCCTCAACCCTGAACCCTGAACCCTAAACCCTGAACCCTGAACCCTGAACCCTGAACCCTAAACCGTGAAAACTGAACCCTAAACCCTAAACTGCCTTGCCGGCCAGTGGGCGCAGAAGAACCTGGCTTCCAAGAGCTTGTCCACGTGGCCGGATTCGGAGGTGGGTTCGTCTAGCCATATAAGAAGGTAGTAATGTAGTGACATACTCATATAGCAATACAGCAATACAAGAATATAGCAGCACAACACTAGAACATTATAACGATATAAGAGTAGAACCGTATAACATGATCACAAAACAATATGTAACACTATATGAACATGCCCATGTTAACAATCTATGGATCCAATAGTGTAATGATCCAACCTATATAACAGTAAAAAAAACAAACCAAAAAACAAACAAACAAATAAATCAAAAAAAGCATACATAGACAGATAAGTAAATATAAATATAAATATAAATATAATATAAATATAAATATAACTATAACTATAAATATAAATATAAACATAAATATAAATATATAAATATAAATACCAATATAGATGTAAATATAAATATAATTATAAATGTAAATATAAATATAAATACAAATATATAAAAATAGATATACAGATAAAAATTAAGTAAATAAATAGATAAATAAATAAATATATATATATACACACATATAAATAAATAAATAGACAAATAAATATATGTAGAGAGCTACATAGTAATACACACATACATCAAGTCTATTCCGAGGGTGGATGCAGAAGCTTCGACCTTGCCAGGAGGGCTTGCAGAAGATCAAGGAGCTGTGGCTCTCTACCGCCAAGAAGGCGCGTTAGCGTGCACTTTAGGGTTTAGGGTTTAGGGTTTAGGGTTTAGGGTTTAGGGTTTAGGGTTTGGGACATTCTGAAAGCCCAGCTTCGAAGGTTCCCTGACTACTTCATGAATAGGTAGGTTACAAATGCCCTAGAATAGGGTTGTGCCCCTAGTTTCCCGCACTCAGACGATCTGCTTCTAGGTACCCGTGAACCTCCACGAAAGCCCAAGACAATAAAAGCCCGCAACGCCATGACTCCTGTGTGCTCTAGGACGAGCGCGAGGCGCTGGAGGCGGCGTGGTCGGAGGTGGCGAGGAGCTGGTTTACGAAAACAGGGGACCCCTGAAATGGACCCCCAACTAGTAGGACTCCCTTCCAATAAGGTACCCCCAATTTCGGAAACCACCAGCTGGGCTCAAGCAGGGATCTGGAGAGGTTCCACAGGATCTAGGAGCACCCTAAACCCTGAATCCCCAACCCTGAGCCCCCAAACCCCAAACCCAAAAAAAACCCTAAACCCCAAACCCTTAACCCAAAGGATTCAAAAAAAACAGAGCCGCGCGCCGCCCGCAGGAATGCCTCCCGGCCGGGGGGCTACTCTTCCAACTGCAGCGACTACGTGGCTTCCACAGGCCCTTATGCGCACTTTTCGGCGTTGCGGGGTTGTTGAGGGTTGAGTAGGGTTTAGGGTTGGGGTTTAGGGTTTAGGGTTTAGGGTTTAGGGTTTAGGGTTTAGGGTTTAGGGTTTAGGGTTTAGGGTTTAGGGTTTAGGGTTTAGGGTTTAGGGTTTAGGGTTTAGGGTTTAGGGTTTAGGGTTTAGGGTTTAGGGTGGTTTAGGGTTTAGGGTTTAGGGTTTAGGGTTTAGGGTTTAGATTTAGGGTTTAGGGTTTAGGGTTTTTAGGGTTAAGGGTGTAGGGTTTAGGGTTTAGGGTTTCGGGTTTAGGGTTTAGGGTTTAGTTTAGGGTCAGTTGGGTGGAGCTTAGGGTGTAGAGCCCCCGGCCCCATATACTGTCCTTGGCCAGGTGTACCAGTGCCGTCCCTGCTGGTCAATGGCAAGGTGGTGGTGCTTTGCAAGATCATGGGTTTCCCTACTACCCCCCCCTATACTACCCCCCTAGGTACCCCCTGAATAGCCTTAATTATGGGCAGGAACCTAGGGGGGTAGTATAGAGGGGGGTAGTAGGGGAACCCATGATTTGATCACGTTGAACTTAGCGTGGATTGGTTGGAGGATCGCTCTTTCATCCCGCCGGATATTGGCTCGGCAGGCCCACTCATTCCACTCTTCCGCCCCAGGTCGGGTGATCCTTCACGTATCAGTCAAGCTATCCACAAGTCACAAGTGCTCATCCCTCTCGTGAGCCCTGTGCTTTGCTGGAATCTGGAGTGGAAGCTACCCGGAAGGAGAGAGCCTGAACCAAGGCGCAAGCACCAAAGAAGTAGAGCGCTTGCATGTGCCTGCAGCTTGCATCCTGCTATGGGTGCGGCGTTTCCTGCCACAAATGCCCAGCACCCAGTCTGTGGCAAGCCCGGTCATGGCATATGCGTAGCCCACCAGTTTCCGGAGCTGACAATTTTCTGCCCACATGTTCAGTTCTCGAAATTACGGTGCTCCTTTTCTGGGTTCCTCTTTGGGCTCCTATTCTTGAATCGGACTGCTGCTCAGCTTACTTAGGGTACTTATATTGGGATGTTCCCCCCTATACAAAAGGTCCTTAATCGGGATTGTAATATGGGGGTACTATAGCCCCTATTGGGGACGGTCAGTATAAGGGGGAACATCCCAATACCTACTGACCTAAACCCTAAACCCTAAACCCTAAACCCTAAACCCTAAACCCTAAACCCTAAACCCTTAAACCCTAAACCCTAAACCCTAAACCCTAAACCCTAAAACCCCCTCAAAGGGAGACCCCACCCGAGGTCACGGGCATGGTTGCGGACAGCCTCGGGCTGGACAAGAACCTCTGCCGACAGGCCGGAGAGCCCTAAAGCTTCAAAGCCTCAACTTGGAAAGTTTAGGGTTTAGGGTTTAGGGTTTAGGGTTTAGGGTTTAGGGTGTGGGGTTTAGGGTGTCGGGTTTAGGGTTTAGAGTTTAGGGCTAGGGTTTAGGTTAACCCTAAACTTGGAAAGTTTGTATATTGTATACAGCTACAGGGTCCGGTGGACCGGAAGTCCCAACTGCAGAGGCCATGCAGCTCCCAAACGGCCTAACTCGGAAACCTGCCTAAAAGCAGAGTAGCAATCATGGATGATGTTGGTTAAGTTACCTCTCACGAGGCCTACGAAGATGGCAGCGAGTACTACGGCCAGTCTATGCCTCGGAGTTTTGTTGTGGGAGCGGGGAGCCTCACTTGACAACCGGGGCCCTTCCTGAACTGGTTTAGGGTTTAGAGATTAGGGTTTTTTAGGGTTTAGGGTTTAGGGGGGTTAAGGGGGGTTAGGGGGGTCTGCGGGCTTAAGGGGTTTAGGGGGCTTATGGGGTTCAGGGGGTTTAGGGGCTGGGTTTAGTGGGTTTTCAGAGGGGGGGTTCCGGGATGTAGGCCTTTGGGGGGACTTGAGTTCAGGGCCCTGCAAGCTCAGGTTTCAGAAGAGGCAGTTTCACGGCCGAGGCCGGCGAACAGTGGATCAGCAGGGTTTTAAGTTGAAGGTTCGGGTTGAGGGTTGGGATCTTCCCCTGTTGCGAGCAGTCCTTCATACGGATTGTAACAGGGGGTACGATAAAATCCCTATTGAGGCCTGTTTGTATAACCCTAAACCCTAAACCCTAAACCCTAAACCCTAAACCCTAAACCCTAAACCCGAAACCCTAAACCCTAAACCCTAAACCCTAAACCCTAAACCCTAAAATGGGGGGCGCAGGTCGGATGCGATGGAACGCGGGGGATGGCAAGGTCGATGAGTACGATGGCCCTGCCGTCAGACTTGTCGAGCCCAGGACCTCAAAACCCCACAACCCAAAAAACCTAAGACCCTAAGACCCTAAGACCCTAAGACCCTAAGACCCTAAGACCCTAAGACCCTAAACCCAACTAAAACCCTAAACCCTACACCCTAAAACCTAAAACCCTAAACCCACCGCCTCCATTGAGATTTAGGGTTTAGGGTTTCCCGTTCAGGGTTTGGGGTTTAGGGGGCGTGGCCAGGTCACTGGGAGAACGGCATGATGCACGGCCAGGGTGTCTACAAGTACTATGACGGTGCGCTCTAAACCCACCTCCGGTTGCTGGTTTAGGGTTTAGGGCTTCGGGTTCAGGGCTTAGGCCTGAGGGTTGGTTTAGGGTTTAGGGTTTAGGGTTTAGGGTTTGGGGTTTGGGGTTTGGGGTTTAGGGTTTAGGGTTTAGGGTTTAGGGTTTAGGTTAGGGTTCATGGGTACTTATAAGTGGCGTTACAAGTGGGGCAACTATGGTTATAACTAACCGTAAGTAGGGTACTTCTAACCCTACGCATCCATCGGGCACCCATGAACCTTCAAGTATTCATTCCCCCCCCAATATATATGTATATGTATACATATACATATTTATTATATGTATACACACACACACAGAGTTCATTAAAAATATAGAAAACTCCGACCCGCGAACCCTGAACCCAAAACCCTAAACCCTGAACCCTGACCCGAACGCCGTCCCTCAGCCTGGGCCACAAGACCTCAGGGGATCCTTTACTATTTCTTCGGTTTGTTTTCGGGTTAGGGTTTTGGGGTTTTGGGTTTGGGTTTTGGGTTTAGGGATTAGGGTTTAGGGTTTAGGGTTTTTAGGGGTTTAAGGTTTAGGCTTAAGGGGCTAAGGTAACAATGCAGGAGGGGGTGCGGGTGTGGGTGCGGGGGGCGCGCATGCCATGGCACTGCCCGAACACGAAGTCGAAAGCCTAGGCTGAAACCCTACCCTAAACCCTAAACCCTCAACCCTCAACCCTCAACCCTAAAGCCTAATTCCTAAACCCTAACCCTCAACCCTAGACCCTAAACCCTAAACCCTGAACCCTGAACCCTAGACCCTCAACCCTAAACCCTACACCCTACACCCTAAAAACCCTGAACCCTGAACAGGTACGCGGTACCAGGGCCAGTTCCAGGACAATCTGCGGCAAGGCTACGGCATCCTTACGGTGCCCTGGTCGCATGCAGGGTTTAGGGGGTTTCGGGGGTTTAGGGGATTTAGGGGTTTAGGGGGTTTAGGGGGTTTAGGGTTTCGGGTTTAGGGTTTAGGGTTTAAAGGGGTTTAGGGGGTTTAGGGGTTTAGGGGTTTAGGGGTCTAGGGGTCTAGGGGTTTAGGGGTTTGGGATCAGGTTTTAGGGCTAGAGCGTACCTACATTCGCTCCCACTCCCCCCAGTTTCCAACCTATGGGGAGCTCTCGCCCAAGTCCTAGACCCTATAGACCCTGAAACCCTCAAGTCGAGGCTTAGGAGCTTCCGGCTGCGAGCGGCTTGATGGGGGTTTGGGGTTCGGGGTGGGGGCATCAGGGTGAGCGCAGGTCTGATTCAGGTCGCCCAGCCCCCTTCATAAGTGCGTGTGTAAGCAGATGCTCAAGACATGCAATCCTATATATATATATACATATATATATATATATATATATCATACCACATGTATCTGTACAATCTAAATTTAAACATGAATATACATATGTACATATATATATATATATATATAATACATGCATATATGTTGGATACGGCTTGGGGTTAGTTTGGGTGCGAGCAGTATATCACCCCAGAGCTCCTGCAACGCAGTTCACGGACGGCAGCCTCTACGAGGGCGGCTGGAGTGACGATGTCCCAGAGGTCCGGTCGATTGGGACTACACGCCTGAAACCTCAAAACCCCAAACCCTAAACCCTAAACCCGAAACCCCAAACCCTAAACCCTAAACCCTAAACCTCCAGCGCCCTGAATGCTGCACTTCCGGGTACCCATGGAAGCCATCCACCGCACTCCATAACACCAAGCTCCCATTTACATTCGGTTTTTTTCATTCAATTATCTGTTCATCTTCGCGTAAGGATGGAAGCCAAATCCTAGACCCCAGTGGCATCTTTCTTTCGGGCTGTTGGGGCCAATGTCGGAGTCAAGGGCATCAAAGGAGTAGGGTACCCTAAACCCCAAACCCTGAACCCTGAGACCCCATGGCCCATAAAAGGGTGCTGTACGGTACAGGATCCGAGTAGCACAGTACGGGAAATGAAGACTTTCACAGCTCTAGGCCCTGAACCCCTAGACCCTAAACCTTAACCCCAAACCCCGCACCGAGAGATTCGGGCATAGGGGAATATAGGCTTTCACGGCAATTTTGGCGGCTTTCGGGTTCTTCGGTGATTTTACGGAGTGTCGACTGCAGCGTCCCCTTCCTCTCAAATTGCTTTTGATACATGTGTATGCGCATATGTCTATGTATTTGTATATGTATATGCATATGTATATGTTTATGTTTATGTCTATATTTATGTTTTTGTATAATGTATAGATGTATGTATGTATGTATGTATGTATGTATGTATGTATGTATGAATGTATGAATGTACGAATGTATGAATGTATGAATGTATGAGTGTATGAATGTATGAATGTATGAATGTATGAATGCATGAATGTATGAATGTATGAGTGTATGAATGTATGAATGTATGAATGTATGAATGCATGAATGTATGTATGTATGGCTGTATGTATGTATGTATGTATGTATGTATGTATGTATGTATGTATGTATGTATGTATGTATGTATGTATAAATGTATGAATGTATGAATGTATGAATGTATGAATGTATGAATGTATGTATGTATGTCTGTATGTCTGTATGTCTGTATGTCTGTATGTCTGTATGTCTGTATGTATGTATGTATGTATGTATGTATGTATGTATGTATGTATGTATGTATGTATGTATGTATGTATGTATGTATGTATGTATGTATGTATGTAATGTATGTATGTATGTATGTATGTATGTATGTATGTATGTATGTATGTATGTATGTATGTATGTATGTATGTATGTATGTATGTATGTATGTATGTATGTATGTATGTATGTATGTATGTATGTATGT